AGGGTCGGCAAACACATCCCCAGAGATGCTCAGGTAGTAGGCGGGCTGAATCATGTCCGCGGCCTTCTTGCCAACCTGCTCCTCGCAGATCGACCAGAAACTCAGGAAAGAGACTCGCCGCTTGCGGCGGAACAAATGGACGTTGAGGACACAAACTTGGCATTTGGGAGAAAGTTTCTCACTGGCAAGGATCTGGAAATTAAAAAAATGTCAGCTTTTTGGGACCTGGATAGGAACAACGGATGGGAAAACCATAAGATCAAAGGGGCCCATCCGCTTTCGAACAACCACCCAGTGTTCGAACCCCAAAGATGAGCTGGGGGGCTGAACCAACACTCCTGGGCCAGTGTTGGAAAAAAACCAAAAAAAAAAAGCAACGGGAGGGATCGGTGATCACATTTCTATTTAAAGCCAACATGCCCATCGGCAAATGGCAAGGTGCTGGAAGGGCCTCAGCCACATGTTTCCAAACAAACATGTAGCTTGCCGCATAACAACAAGGGGGTCTGACATTGTCGAAATCAGCATCTCCTGGTGGCTTGCTTTTTGGGAAGTCACAAATTGTAAGCAGCGTCTCTAAAGTGTTTCTCAAAAACGAACGGCATGCAGGTGTTTGTGTGTGTGCGGTCTTTCAAGACACTTTTTTTTGGTGGATTCCAATTTCAGGAAAAACAAGAGAAATGCCACAATTGGATGTTTCTGGCAATGGATCGGTGAGGCCGAGGTTCGGCATTGGGGTCTGCCTCGAGCACCAGAGTCTCGTCCTGGAACGCGTCCAACCCGAAACCCGAAACGGACTGACTGGTTCGGGGTTTTCTGCGAGGCCCGAAATAGATAGACATAAGTTTAGAGGAGACCCCCAGTCAACGGGCCCACATTGGCGAGTTGTCCAGCTGTTTGTGCATTCTGAAAGGATCCTTCTCAGAAAATGGATGCAGAAAGCCATAGGGAAACGAGTTTCAACAGATTGATGGGTAAAGAGTAAGGGGAATCCACTCTTTGAAGCCTTAGAGCTCTGCTGCCGCTGCGATCAAACGGCCACCGGGGCTGTAGGCTCCAACCGCAAGGTGGAATATCAGGTAGGTTGTGGGAGCTAACCCCAGTGTCCCCAGCGAGAACTATAACCTGTTTACCGGTATCAGGTGTGGGTGGATTGAATGTTGAAGTCATGTCCGCAAAAGTGGCCATTTTTAGCTGGGACAATTTGCACAAAAATGTAAAATCCCGGAAGGTGGTTTCCAGGCATTTACGTGTTTGTCGCCAAAATGGTGAACCTCCTTGGGATTGGCCGCGAGAACTCAACCTTCTGGGGGACTCCATCGCATACACGAGGAAACTCCCTTGAACGGTGCCGTGTCCAGAGACCCCATCGAGATCCAACAAGAGGTACACAGAAAATCAGATGCCCTGATTCATCCTGATTCTCTTTCTGGCCTGCCTTAAAATCGATCAGGCGGGCCCCAGCCCGACCCAAGGCTTACCCACGACACCTGCCAAACCGGGGGCCTTCCGAGCCCGAGCTTTGGCCTTCAACGGGCCCGAACTTGGCGCCCAATTCTTGCGGACAAAAAACAAAGAAGTGTTCAGATGGTCCGTATCTGGGCGGGCTCTCAAAATGGTGGACCAGCACAAAACACCCATGTTAGTCTGGGGGGTCTTGATCCCGTGAGAAAAGTCGAATTCTTTCCGCGGGATGTGCCATGAATATTACTTTACTCTAAAGTCTACAAATCTAAGGCCGGGAACCGCTAAGAATCCCTTTGGTGGGCATCGCTTGGGTGAGGGCTTAACACTCATGGCCAAGAAAGGCGTAGGTTTTCTGAAGATAACTAGCCGTTTCCAGAAAAGGTACCGATTCAAAAATGGCACCCCCATATCACAAGAAACTCCTTTTAATCGAACCTGCTAAAATGGCCCTGGGAATCGGTTACATTGCTCGTATGAGTTCTTTAGCAGACCCTGGGCTTGCCGAGCCGCCTTCATACTCAATGCCTTTTCCGCTGCCAAGCCCGCCGGTGCGTCTGCCAGCATCTGGCGATTCGAGTGACAAGACCCATTTCAAACCATGGGAATAGGCGCGTGTTGATACCCTTATCGCCATTTGGGGGAGGCCCTACTTTGACACATATCCGAATGGTTCCCATGGAAAAGCGGAGTTTGTACTTGCACACCGTACCTGAAAGTTTAGACCACAAACTAGGGCCTCAAATATCAGGCCTTTCTCCACGTTCCGCCGGCAGGGCTGACTATCCAAAAATCCAATTGGCTAAGCCCCAGGGTACACACAAGCAACCAGAACAGACCTGGTCCCATGTGCGTCCCGCGCAATCAGTCAAAACCTGGTTGAGTGACCCAACACCCAAGGGCAAACAAACAGCTCTTTATTACTTTCACTAGCTTTTATCTAAATCCATCCAATTCCCAACCGCACCACTGCAAGGCCCAACGTGCGCTTCGACCTTCCCCGTGCCTTGTCGTGCACGTACAAAAGCGCCTTCCCTGTCTTGCCGGCCAGCTCCGGGGGGACAACCACATTCACCTGAGCTGTTTCTGCGGTGTGCGGCTGTGGCCGCCAATATTATACCAAAATCAACACCCAACAGATATATATATATATATAGAGAGAGAGAGAGAGAGATGGGTCTGTATTTTTTGCAGTGCCCATTCTTGATATATATATATATATATATATACATATGTTTTCATTTACTTATTCATTTATAAACACAAAACAGCACAACATAGAGGTTTTGTGCAGGAGATGAGCAAATGGGTCAAAATAGGGCCATGCACCCCCAAATACTGACTTCGGTCTTCCGTTGAGTCACCCGAGAAAAATGACCTTTGGAACCGCCAAGAGACTGTGATCCTTCCAAGGCGCTGTGATCTGAAAGGCCATGATCCGGCTCAAAAGGCTCAATCCTCCGGCTCAAGTCGATCCGATCCCAAATCCCGGACGAAGAAGGAACTCTCATAGGTTTGTCGCAGACTAAATCCTTTGTGAGGTTGGTCGCTTGAATTTGAGCCTAATTTGGGAAAAACAATTTTCATTCAGGATTTGGATATCAAGAATCCAAGTAAAGGACATTCATCATGGGGCACCAAACGCTCGTCTGACGATCAATCTTGTCACTTGCCCTGATAACCTGCTGACTGGACAGGCCAGAAATGTGTTTTAACTGTCTGGGCCGCCAAAGCGATGGAGACACACCTAGAGCCTCTGAACACCAGGCCCAACAACACATCGCTCTGTGTGGGGGAAAAAATAAGCTCGGGTGATATCCCCAACAGCAGGCTGTGCTCCTTTTAGTGCTCGCACCACCCCGCAGCCCTCGCAGAACCTCGTGGAACCCTCGTGGAACCCTGGTGGAACCCTGGTGGAACCTTGCCTCAGGGCCGCCCCGGACCACCCCGCACCCTATCTGGGCTGAGACCCCACAGCTTTCAGCTGTTGGGGAATAACAAACCTGGTTTTGAGAGATCGCCTCTGTGCATCTGGTTTTCGTTTGCACGCAAATTTACCCGGGTTCGACGGCGTTTTTGCGGATCCACCTTCGCAAAGCCCGATTCTTCCTTGTCAGAGCCAGGCTTTTCGGGAAGCGATCGAGAAACAACAGGCTGTTCGATTCCGCTCTTTTTCCGGGAAAGAGTAACCCCAAGGCAAACCGATTCCAGTTCGCCAACTCCAAAGGTGGCGCCCAACCACAAGATCCGAGAAAAATCACTCGCGCCGGCCCGGAAGGGAAAAGCTCACATGCTCGACCAGAGGGCTTGGCATCTAGGAACTCGGAGCTTTCTTCATTTTTTGGGGGAGGCCCGCCTGTTCATCTTGAGGTTGGGGGATTGTGCCAGAGACACACAAACAAACATATATACATTTATACATATTCTATGATGTTGACCCCCTATTAATCAACCTGGTGAAATAGGAGCGGTTCCCCGAAAAAGAAGATGATTCCCTCAACAGTGGCACCCCTCCAAGCAAAGTCAGCCTGGCTGATTGATTGATTGATTGATTGATTGATTGATTGATTGATTGATTGATTGATTGATTGATTGATTGATTGATTGATTGATTGATTGATTGATTGATTGATTGATTGATTGATTGATTGATTGATTGATTGATTGATTGATTGATTGATTGATTGATTGATTGATTGATTGATTGATTGATTGATTGATTGATTTGATTGATTGATTGATTGATTGATTGATTGATTGATTGATTGATTGATTGATTGATTGATTGATTGATTGATTGATTGATTGATTGATTGATTGATTGATTGATTTTGATTGATTGATTGATTGATTGATTGATTGATTGATTGATTGATTGATTGATTGATTGATTGATTTGAGTTGAGTTGATTTGATTTGATTTGATTTGATTTGATTGATTGATTAATTCAATTAATGAATTCATTCATTAATTGAATGATTGACTATTACTGGGCTTTGATTACGCACTTGTGTGGGGATTAACGCAAAGAAACCCAATTGGGTCTCCAGCCCCAGTTTTATCTGGACTTAGTGGTTCTTTGATCCCTCGCTAAGAGTTGGACGTTGAGTGGGATATCTAAACGCGCACCAAAGGACCCAGAAATATACCTTGACGCAACGTGACTCCAGGAGTCAGGCTGGTCCAACTCCCGATCTTGGCCTTACATCACCCGAAAGGACACTCCCTGTTGTTGGGTATTGCTCTTAACTGGGGACCTTTGGTGGACATCATCTAGGTGGGGTGTCATGTCCATCAACGAAGATTCCGGAAATTCATGGCCATATACTGTTTCCTTTTTTGAACCCTCCAGGGGTCCCTTTGCAGGGGAAATTGACTTCCAGACCCCAGTCAGGTTGCTGGTTCGTGGATGGGAACACAAAAACACACATACTGAAAAAAATAAGAAGACCGGCGACATCCAAAGTTCAGAGCCAAGGCACCAACAAGTCCCAGCGCGCGCCGCATAGGGCACTTCGAGCCGAATCGAATGTCTGCGGCGCATTCGAAGCAAGTTCTCCCAGGTCGCCAAGTTTCCCGTCGACAACCTTTAAGGGTTGATTCCCATTCTCTTCACCCATCATTTTCTTTAGAAACCACCCATTTCCAAGGGTTCGGCCCATCCTTTGAAGAAGATCCGTGAAGAGAATCGGGAAGGTACAGCTAGATTAGCGTCAACCTTGGACTAATGGCAACTCTCCTGGTTGATTGATGCTTGCGATTTGTAAAAAGGATCCTCACTTTTGGGCGAACTCCAGCTAATCCACGAAGCTGCATAATCGGCGGTCAACATTCGCGAAGACAAAACCAATGAGGGGTGGTTTTCGCTTTTAGTGAGCATTGCTGCATTTTAAAGGGATTGCTCTAATGGCTCCGGTGTGTGTGTTTTGCTCCCACATGTTGAACAGCTAATGGGAATTCAATTAAGCATTTAATAAAACATGGGATTCCATTCCTCTATCAGCTTCCCTGCTGGTGGTTTGGATGGGTTTGGACGTTCACCCTGCCCATCTTTCAAAGGAGCTGGTTGGAAAGGAGCCATATCTAAAGTATGGCTGGAAATGGCCATGTTTCGAAGCCCTTGCCTGTTTGGAACACTCACATGTGGAATTTCCGAATTGCAGGGAGCGAAGGCTTCAGAACTTGATAGACCGTGAAAAAAACGCAACCGCGCAGCAGTTTTCGTTTGTTGAAACACCCCTGTTCGGCTCCCCATGGTTGGTGGATCTCTGATCCAATTTTGTTTTGCAAACGTGCTGGGACTCCGCGGAGGAAACCGCGTAATCCATCTGGGGAGTGAAGATTGAGGTTTTGCTTTTGGGTTCAGCAGGCAAAGCTTTAGGTCTAGTGGAGTGAAGAGCAGTGGGTCCAAGATTCCAAGCTTTGCTTTTTTGCATCCACTTCTGGTTTTTGGAGTTGTGGAGTCGTGGAGTGGGGTTTGTGAAAGAGCAGAGGGGTCTGCCATTTTTTGAGGCGCTTTTGATCCGCAATCTTTAACATGTTTTACTGTTTTTTTTGTTTTTTTTTTCTGAAGCGTTGGATCCTCGAGTAAAGGAAGTTCATCATAGATCAAGTCGCGAGCGTTTTTCCCCGGAATCGATGAGCTCGAAGCAACACTCGGCTGTTAGGGCACAAATGAGATCCTTACCTAAAGGGCAGGTGAACCAATCCACCATTTGTCGAATGACCCACAAAACCATTGCGCTTGATTCTACGTCAGGTCTATGTCGGCCTCACTGTCCTTGTTAGGCAGTACCCTCTAGAATGGTCAATCAAGTGGAAGCAAGTCCATTTTGGGTGTGGGCTACCCGGGCTGTGTTTTGTTTGAGGTACGTGCTCTTTTGGTGCTCTTTAAAGGGAAACCGAAAGGGAAATCCACAATTTTGGAGGAGTTCCCATATCTTAAGACACGCCCGAATTCCTTTCCCCAACACCTCGAAAGGCCGAGCGGCTTCCTTCATGTCCACTTCCCTGCCTGAGTCGCAACAAACTCTACCGCACGCAAACCGAACCGGGGATCCGACCTGGGTCGTTGCAATTCGAGGGCTCCTCAAAATTATGCTTGGGCAGGGGAACCCCTTTGAACCACGTTTAGAGGATAACGATGATAATAGGGTCTTGGAGCACTTCAAAACCAAATTGAGCCATGATTACCGTATTGCCCTCTCGTCTAACATGTCAAATTGTCCAAACCAGGACCCCGAAACGTCAGGTTCCATGGCAACGTGGACAGGGTGGTCCCCTTCCATCTCGAGCCACGCCGCCATCTTCGAAGATGCGCGGCGCCCCTGGCTCGTTCACCGCCTCTGGCCCAGCCTTTGCGAGGAACAGTGCCTCAGCCCGAGCACTGGCTCGACCGGCTGGGGCCAGCCCGGTGGCACTTGGATGAGTGGCTCCAGGTTCAGCTGAAACCAGTGGCTATGAGCCCAAACATGTGTGAAGAAACCCAGGTGACCCAGGGAAACGCAACAAACACCTCCATTGGGCCCAAACTTTTCGCCAAACAGCGGCATACCCTGACACATGCCTGTGGCGATCGGTTCCCGCATCTACAGGCTGAATCTCCAGTAACGCTAATCAACTTGGCAGCTTGGCAGGTTAATTCGGGGTGTGTCTCCTCCAAAGCGAAGCGTTGCTACGATGGACCCGTATCAACTAGGTTCCTTTTGAAGAGACCCCTGTGTTTTGAGACCACCGCCCAAGCGGAAACCGGAATCACTTTTAGGCAGCCCATGCTTTTCCTCCAAAGTGAAGGGCGACCCTATCACCCAGAATGTCGAAAAAGTCGCCAAGCGGCCAGGTTGGCGTGGAGACCTTGTACAACGGCCTGCATGCTGCAAGGCGGGGGTGGGAAGTCAATGATGGAAAGTCTAAGGATTCATTCCAACCATTTCCATCCATTGCCTTTGTGTTTAGAAACCAACCCAAGGATTGATTCCAAGCATTCGCTTCACTGACTCCAACCTCTCAGGATTTTTCCCTTCGCAGAGAATCTC